GAATATTTTAACTCATATTGTTAATGTAATTAATACAATATTAATGATCCTGATTCATGTAACTGATTTTATGTATATATCTTTTCGAGTTATAATTGTTATGAAAAGTAGATTGTTTTAGAACTGTATATATTATATGGGTGAAGAAAAAAGATCGGCGCCTATATTGCAACCTCATAGGTGGTGAAGAAAAGCAATAAATATATAACAATCTTTTGTTTCGAAAATATTCTTGAAAGTTTTCATTAATATTCTCCATTAAAAATACATGTTCAAAAACAAGTTGTTAAACTACAATACATTCCTTTCATTTACATATCTGTGTCAAAATAAGGCAGATTCGATCAGGTGATCACGGTTGTTTCACACACATAGGAAAACAGCTGATTCTTTGGTTACTTGTAGGCTTATACAATGGTGCTTGTAGAGGGATGTTCAATGGGAAGGCCTATAGCTCATTTAGCCATCCAGGAACCGTTATTTATTCTCTTAAAGCTAAGACAGAATTGTATTTTATATTATTCTAGACATTAAGGTAATACATTTATATTAGGACTTCCATTCTCATAAGTACACTTATGCTATGGTTTACATTATTCTTTCTACAGGCGGGAGATGGAATGCCAATTTTGATAACCGCACTGACTTTCGATTTATACATGTGTATATTGTTAAATGAAAGAATAGGATTGAATTTAAAATTGTTATATATGTGAAGTAGGCGTGGTTGTAGTCCGATTTCGCTCATTTCGACACTGTAGTATAAGGATAATGAGATACAGCAAATTTGATTGAAATTGGTGAGCGGTGCCTGTTGTCTTTCTGTATCCTAAATACTGTGAAATTGAATGCTTCTGACAGAGAATGTTAATGAATAGAGAAGGCGCAAAGAGCCTCTTTTTTCGGTGCGCCTGGTCAACCAAATTTGGTTTTCATATGGAATTCCTACCACAAATGGCGAAAATGAAATTAAATAAAAATGACTGAAATTGAATTTGAATGTCTTCAGTAAAATTGAAGAATCAGCAAAATTTCGAATTTACAATTTGTATCACTGAAAGTCCTACCATCCCCCTCGCATTTGTATGCTGCCCACAAGCTGCTTCCTCACAACATTTGCTAAAAATCAGAAATTGAAGAATTTGTCTGATGCTCCCTTCAGAAAGGAGAATTGACAACATGGTCTATTAGCGATTTGAAATATTATTTTAATTTACTTCATATTATTCACTTTATATGGCACTAAATTATAAAATTTATATAAAATTGCCATTTATATGAAAACCTTTATTATTTCTATATATTCTAAGCACACTGCATATAGTACTTTTATATGTTTACTTACTATCATTATTTCATAGTTTCTCGATTTAGCCCATTTTACCTAATAAGAACGCTATTAAAATACACCCCAATCGGTAGTCGTAGTATTTCAAAAGAGCATAAGTCAATTTTCAATAACTAAGCACAGCAAAAAGGACAAAGGAGACAACATAGCCGACCGACATTGTCGCAAAATTGTCCATTCAAACAAATCTTGTCAACTCCGCGACGATGGGCAAAATTCTGCGTCAATATGTATGCGAGCTCGTATGTATGTCTGTGTGTTTGTCGGCAAAGTTGTCATTTGGTTTTTTTTAACGTTTTGTCAGAGCTCAATTTTTTCCGCCTTGTCTCCGCGCGAACTCGCAATTACTTCCATGGCGTGCCATCATGGTCAGAGGCGTTTCAACGGAGGGTTTTTATCATATTAATATATTGCTCAATTTGTATAGGAAAATACTGATATCTTTGGGCTTAGTTACGCAATATTATAATATTTACATAAACCTATAAATACTCATAAATTCATACTTATTTCATCGTTTTTAAAATAAACTCGATTGATAAAAATATATCTGAAATAATTATGTGGTAGTACACCCCCGGACCCCTCCTTGCTTGCGATCGTTCAACTTGCTTCGTTCTAGCTATTCTCGTAAAAAGCAAAAAGTGTGGACAAAAGTCATTATTTGTGCGGGGCAAGAAGAAGCAAACATCAGCGTACGTGTACTTATGAATGTATGTGTAATTTTCACATTTGTATAAATACACATAAATAAGGGAATATGTAATCCCACACATATGAACATATTTTCCGGAAATATTCTAATTATTACAGTGAGTAAAATATGCTATTTAAGTAACTGAATTGAGATCAGCTAAAATGTAAAATACTAAAATAAGAGATAAATAAAAATTAAGATTTGTGATTTATAAGACTCAAACTTAAGCGTTTGTATTGGGAATGGCTTAACTCCTTCACGCTTACGACCTAACCATCTCAATAGTGGAAACCGCGGCCGCTTGGCCATTGTTTTATTGTTATTTTTTGCCCATTAGATATTGTTCATGCAACGCACAAAAATGTGTTGCAGAATTTATCTATTAATTACTTCTTTTGTTGTAAATTCTGCGGCTTCAACCAATAATCCTCTCATATATTTGAAGGTTTATTTAAAATTACAAAAGTTGCGATTTTTTGGTAATATGCAAATGTAAATCAGCATGCGCATAATTCATTTAAGAACATTCTTTGTGTCTATTTATAGTATTTTCTCCGTTTCGATCATTGCGTGGTGTATTTCAAAAGAGTCGAAGTTGTATTTTTCGATGCTCCCACTTGTGAAAAGCTCAATTTAGTACTTTTTAACATTTGCGCCTTCTCTATTTATTAACATTCTCTGCCCTAAGATAGGACTTCTATTTAACAATCTAGTGATTGAACTCAAGATAGTATATCAAGGTATACGATTTATCGAGAAATCTGTAACCATTGGTGTCAGTAGTGAGATTTTTAAATTAAGCCCCAAAGTAATAATTATTTTAAAAAGGCTAAATTAAATGATCTGAAAATTCCACATCTGAAAAAGGAGCTGGAACAACGGGGTTTAGCAACAAATGGAGTGAAGTCCGAATTACAATCATAGTTACGGAAGGATATCGAAGTAGAAAACATTAATGTTGAGGAATATAAATTTTTACCCAGGTGACCTCACAAAAGGTAGCACATTTTACAGCGCAAGATGCACGTATATCAGCACAGGTGTCTTCACTGTCGGAAGAGTAGGATAAAATTAAGGCTGAAGTAGATGAGTTTGAAGCTCCCAAGCACTTATAATTGTTAATTGGTTATAATGTTTGAAGTTCTCAACGAGCTGCACAACGTTCCAAGTCTACGGCTCTTGAAAATCACGAAAATCTTGGAGAAAATAATGCGAAGGTTTTATTGGATTGGTTGTAATCAATCAATACGCTGATTGTATTGGTGTTAAATGGTTGAGGTTCAAGAGTTATGACCAAATGAAGCAGTGTACTTCAGGAGCGCCATTTGAGTGCATTGCCATGTATATAATCCCCATCCATATATTAGGAAAATAATATGTTTTGGTAGTCAAGGACAATTTCAGTGAATGGCCAGAAGTATACCCAATTATAAGAAGAAGACCTATTGCGAAAATATTTGAATAGTTTTTAAAGATATCTGTGGCCAACATAATTACCAATTAAATTTATGATTTATAGATTCTATAATCTATAAATATATTCATATATTAATAGTAGTTGCGATGTATTTATATATGTAAATAAATTAATAGTGTATTCATATGAAACGTAAATACTACTTTTAACTTATTGTCAACCATTTGAAAATTGAGTAAATGATTAAAATGAGTCGTGACTGTATTATCTCCCGCCAATAGTTTCTTACATTGTAAATAAATATATGATCTTAATTATTTTCTTTATTATTTATTTCTTATTCATTCTTTTTTTTATAACAGTGTTTATATATCTTTTTAATAAAAGTGTTTATATATTTTGGTAAATATAATTAATTTCATTGTTTGATTGTTTTACTCGCTTTTCCTGCAATGACGTCATAACTGTCTAACTGCAAAAACTTGGCGTAATCTCATTTCCTATACATCTTCTATCTCTCTTGACATGGACCTGTTTAAATGTCCATAAAAGATCCAGATAAAAGTTTTTATTTAAAAATAACTAAAATGTTTGGTAAATGTATAGTTTAAGTCTCCCAACGAATGAGGCCGCGAATGTTTATCGTTTTATTTTAACGCAAAGATGGGAGCTCCGTGAGCGGCAAGTAAATTTTTTAAAAAATTTTATTTTATATTGAATTTTCCGAAAAAGTAAAAAAAGAAGAAAAAAGTATTATTTTTTTGAACCACGACAGAAGGGCACCAATAATGTATGGGTGTGCGAAGTAATTTTTAACATATACTAGTTTTTTTAACATATACTAGTTTTTTAAATCCCTATTTTGGATATATTTTACTGTGTACAATGGGGTTAACTTTAGTATTCAGGGCCGCCGGAAACTTATAGTTTTCGAGATATTTCCATTTTAAGTTGAACCTTTTACAAATTTTATCTTGCAATTTCTCGATTTGAAGTTAATTTTTCTTTAACACTATGCACTTGTTATACACTAACACTTCACTACATTGTTTCTACATATTTAATTTAATTCAATTATTTTAATATTTGTTTTAAATAAGCATTTTATTTTTCAAACAATTATCGTTATATGCACAATTAAAAAAGGTTTCCATGTTGAAAATAAAATTTTGAACTTAAAATGAGAATATCTCGAAAGCTATAATTATACATATTGTAACGGATTTCTCGATAAATCGTCTACCTGTACCTCACTCTTGAGTTCGATCACTGGATTGTTAAATAAAAGTCCCAATTTAATGGCTACACACTTATCTATATTTCTAATTCCAACAACTTAACACTTATTGCTCGTTATTCGAGCTTACAACTTCTTGCATATAGCTTAATTGCTCTTATCACGACAACACTCTAATTAGAACTGTATTTGCTGCACAATCCGGTAGCACTTATATAGTAAATCTGTAACAAAACATTGCTTCTAGAACATTCTGGCAACTACGAATTCGCTAACTAGTTGCTTCTGGCAGTTTATCGTTGATTCGATTTTGTTGTGTCATCCGTGTTCGTCACAATATTCTTAATCTGTAGAATCTATCATACCTATCATACTCATTTTAAACATGAAATCGCAGGATGGTATACTAAAGTTTTCCCTGCAGAGTGACATATTACAACTATGTTAATTGAAAAATGTGTGCAAAGTCTGTTAAACGTATATATATATGTATATGTATAATATATATATATAAATATTTAAAAAACATTGCTTTTCAGTTCACGAAATTCTCATCTTCGCCTCAAACTAAGACGATAAAATTTTCTTTTTTTTTGTTTAATAGCCGAATCAAAATATTAAAATATTATTTTTACTGTGTATAATATAAGTTGAAAGGTCTTGGCAGCACTTCCATCTCCACGTGTGTATTCTGACAGTTCCAGTTTGTGTGCTTATCTTCTTCTTGCTAGTTTAAGATTAAAGACAACATTATTTGCAGCCATGAGCAGAAAACCAAATAATTTTCGCCGAGGTGGAGGTAGTAGTGTTAATCGACGTTTTGGTGGTACGAGGTCCTTAGGTAACTATAATAGAAGCGGTAATCGTAAGGATGGACATGCAGAAAACCGCCGTTCCGGTAGCTGGGGAGGCGGTAATATTTATTGGTCTTATAAAGAAAGTAGCAACAATAACAATAACTTTGGGTTTATTAGCAATTCAAAGCTAAATAATCAAGAAGACGGCTTTCAAAAGTTTCGTGATCCAAATGCATTAGAACAACATAATAGTAATATGCGGTCTCATCATGATTCGCAAGAACGCAATGGACGTGGCTGTGGTCGAGAAAGGCGCGGTGGAAAGCCAAAATTTGGAGGTGAGACTCATAAAAATGATGTAAATTGGTATGAAGAACGGAGAAATGCTCAGTTACTACAAGCCGATGAACAAAATCAAGATTATTTGCCTTCATCGGCTTTGCAAGTGTCTACCACAAGTAATTTACCACAAACAATACCATTAGTTGCTCCACCTCCCACACTTTCAACAACTTTAAAAAACCTTTCTCATGATGAAGTTTCAAAAGAGTGTAATCTGGAAAACAAGAAAGATGTTTTAAAGTACATAAAACAAGAAAAAACTGAGGTAGAAAAGGATAATCGTATTTTAAAACAAACACATAAACCTGCAAGTTCTTCCAGTTCTTCTTCAGAATCTTCTGAAAGTGAAGATGAGGAGCTACCAAGCAAAGCATCACAAAATATAGTTAAAAATAACACCATAAAAGTAAAACAAGAAGCACTGGGTAAACAACCACAAAAAATAAACACAGAACAGTCAACTTCTGATTCTTCTTCAGAGGATAGGAAAAGAAGTGATAAAACCAGTACTAAGTCCAATATGATCATGGAGAAAGGACCAAAAATTGCAAAAAAACAATCCAAGAAGAAGCACTCATCCGAGGAGGACTTAATATGCCTTGGGAAATTGGAAAGAAATTTTGTAATCGAAGATGATGTATCAGAAGAGACGGAAGTTTCATCAAAAAATAGATCCGGGATGACCAATAACCAATGCTTAATATGTGATAAGCCGGTAAAACAATGTTTTTAATATTTTTAAACTTTTTTACTGTATTTTATACTTACGGTTTTTTTTTTATACATAATATATTTTCGCTTAGGGTCACTCTGCTTTTGAATGTCAAATGATTTGTAAAAACTGCTCTGCACCGTATCATAGTATGAAAAGTTGCCCCAAACCAGCAAACCTCAGCACTATGCTTCAATCTTACATGGAATTCTGTATTGGTCAAATGAGTCAGTTCAATCCCGAAAAAAAGTTCACCATGCCCCCAAATATTTGTGTCAGTGAAAGCTCCTTGGCGCAAATCAAGTCACAGCTAACTACTGTACAAAATAAAAAGGTCAAAAGGCTGCAGACAAAATCGGAGAATTCGCTAAAGAAGGCTACAAAACGTAGACACAGATACGCTTCTAAATCTAGTGATGATGAAAAGGATGACGTGGAGAATAAAACAGGGACAGAAACATCTGAATCGGAATCAGAAAGTGATTCAAGCGAAAAACTAACGGCTACAAAAGTAAAAAAGAGGCGCACAAAGATGCCTAGTCCGATGAAGACTCCTAAATTCCACAATACATTTGTGCCACCATTTTCATCGTTTCCTGCTTTTGGTGCAGCTGCTGCTGCTTACAATCCACTACTCTTAAGTCAACTTATGAACAGCGGGGGCTTTGGTGCCGCTGACAAACTGATTTTTCAATAAATTATATTTGATTAAGTTATAAGAACATTCATCTTTGTTATATGTGAACATTTCACGTAGAGAATGTGCGGTGAATGTTGACTTAACTTTGTAATGTATGTACATTCTTTTTAGAGGAAAATTTTAAATGCCAACTTTATAGCTTTATGAAATAAATCCTTTTAATTTTGAGTATAAGAACTTTCCAATATGTAATTTATAATTTAAAATACTTAGTTTATTATAATCTCATCAACGGTAAAAAGTGCCAACGCTATTTTTCGGTTAAAAAATTTTTTATTCCGGCACGAAGGAATGAGGTAATAAGATACTCAATTTATTGGGGATGGACAGTTGTCAAGAAAAAATAGGAGTGACCAATTGAACAAAACAATTCATTTTTAATAAGACAAATGTTTTTTTGTCTCAAAATTGTTTCACAACATTCACTAATAATGTATTAATAGTTCCATAGTTTATATATCTCAATTAAATGTTATATCACAGTTTATGTTAAATAAACTTAAGAACTAGTTCCACATTAAAATAGGAGTAGTCTATATAAAATGTAGTTTCAAAAATTTTTAATTAAAACGGTTTCAACCCTTTACAGAATTATAAAAGTATTCATATTTCATTGAATAGCTTCGATTTTTAACAGAGCAAATAGAGGGAAATAGAGCCAATGAGGTTCTGGGAAGGTTAAAATAGTGAGTGAGGTTTGGGAACTCTTTCACTACCTTTCAAAAGTCTCGAATTTGTTGATTTTAGTTCAGTATCACTTTTTCTCACTCTTGAGTTGTTTTATGGGGTTGAAGACAGGGCACTGAACAGACTGAGATATAACCTCAACTCCGTTGACTCTACACAAAAACTTTCCGCACTTTCTGATATGTTTAGGGTCATTATCTTGTTGATATGCTTAGGTGACCATATTCTTTTCCAGCAAAATCCAGGACGATTTGTTATTAGTCGTTGATTTTTTCCATATTATAATTAACTGAAAATCGCGACATATAATAGTTGAGAGCAACACAATTTTATTCAAAAAGAATGGAAATGGATTCAATCACTGTCTGGTGCTTTCGTTTGTATATCAGTTGATGAAGTGGACGGTGTTTCCGGAATTGTTGAAGACGTCTTCAGACTCACGTATTTCTCTTGTTGACTGATTTTTCGAAGAAGCTCGGGGTACAATTTGAAGTGAGTGAAAAATTCCAAACAAGAAAATTTGAAATTTTTCTACACAAATAAAATCGATTTCACCTTTCACATTTGGATCGGTGCTGACTTGTAGACGAGTTTTTTCGTATGTCCACAATCTGTTAATAGTGGAAAATATGCTATCCGCTGGTGCCGATGTTCCAGGTAGTGTCAGAGCGTATTCAAAGATCTCTGAAAGCTAAACGAATGGAATGTTGTGCTTAAACAGAAAAGTGGAACATTGAACCCAACGTTTGTCAACGGATGTCGCTCTTTGCTCCTTTCATCAATTCGTCACCTAGTATATACAGGGAAATATATGTAAGTGAATTGTTCGCCTATGTGAAGTACTGTCTGATGCTTTCAATATATTATTTTCTGTGAGGAAAATAAACGTTTCTCAATTTTTTCCCAGTCGAGTTTATCAGTGACTAGCACCTAACCAAAAAGTTCTATATGAGCAAACTGTTGAGTGTATGCCTCAAGATATTTGTTACAATCAGCTGATTGACACATTGAAGTCGATAAAAAATGAGAAAACGAAAATTGAAGTGTAAAATGAAATATTTACTTCGAAATTGTTTCGCCACTACTTCAAAGTGCTTCAAGTCATAGTTTTCTTTCTTCAGGTTCTCCATTTCCGCTTTTACTTGCAACGGAAAATAATTGTGTTGGTTGGATGTTTGCAAATTGTTCATTAAATCTTGCAAGTGTTTGTAAATTGCTACTGCTGGAATATTATTGCATTCAATTTTCTTTATTGTTTCTTCGAAAATCATGGCCTAACAAATAATGAGATAATAATTAAATAATTTCTCGATTTTGAAATAATTTCAGTTAGTAAGAATATATTTTCCCCTGTTCATGACCAAAAATTTACCTGAGCTTTGATAGTGGATTTCTGAAAAAATTACAGATACATCTCGCTTTTTTGAGTTGTGAAGGAAGGTCGTCAAAATACGTTTTCAAAGGTTGGAACATTCGAATGATTTTCCCCAACCAGTTGATCGTATTCGCCTTCAGAAATTTCGCAGATTGACTTTAATGCTTCTGTGCGAATCGCGTGGATGTAAAAATGTGTATAGATCTGAACAACAATGCTCTCTATTTCAAAATCAAGTGCATTACATGCGTTACGAATCGCATTATACACGATATGCGTTGCACAACCTACACCAACTATGTTCGATTTTAGTTTCTTTAATTTTCCAAAAACATATCCTTCACTTTTCCGATCAACGTGACAGAAATTAATTGACGCATTGTCACCACAGTAAGCTATCAATTTATCAGTCAAACCGAAATTTTAAGGACTCTTTTAATCATTGAAAAAATCATATCCGATGTTTCACCTTTTTCTTGTGAAAGTTTAATTATTTTAACACTCACTCCAGATAATAGAAGAACGAATGACGACAGGAAACATGTTAATTGCTTTGCGATTGGAAGCGTCGGTTGACAAGCAAACGATTTGGGCTTTCTGTAAACTAGACTTGAGGCATTCCAATGCGTATTGTGGAAAAACATTGGTTATTATCGCTTCACTTTTTGTTTTTGAACACGAAAATTTTTTCATTTGGAAACAGTAAGACAGTAAAATGTTTGAAAACATGTTAATCGGACGATAACTGCTGTTTTTAAATGATTTTTTGATTTGATTCTCATCAATCGTCATTGCCTCCACCAACACCTAACGAAAGCGTTGTATTACATTTGTCGCAACGAACGTTGGAATAGTCATAAGTGACTCTCAAAAAAGGATATTTGTTCTTCAAATTATTTTTGAAAACACACTTTCGTTTCGACATTTCACAAAGTATTATTTATTCGTAAATATTTATGCTTCAAATTCCCAAAATTTTCTTATGTTTCACTTTGAATGTTGAATGAAAGTAATGAGCTGTCAGTGAACAACGCTGACGTTCGCACCAAAATCTACTACATAATTCAATTCATTCAAACCGAATGTAGTATGTAAAAATAGAACATACACGGTGGGCCATCTACATTGTTGTATATTTGTTCCGTTTATTGAGAATTTTTTTTTTTTAAGTTCCAAGCACTTAACTCGGAATCCGGGACTTTCCCGACCATTGTATAAATCTACAAGTAACCAATCCTAAGAGTTTCACTAATCCACACGCAAAAATGTCCCACTTGGTACGGGTTGCCTCGAAAACTCTACTACTAAAATCACACTTGGTACGGGTTGCCAACCTATATTCTACTACTAAAACGTCCAAATGATACAAATCTGCTATAGTGTGTTGCCGTGTTAAGTTTTAAAATTTATAACTTTAAGAATGTTTTTATTACATATTCAAATATTTTTCGGTTGTTATAATTCGTAAAGATTCAATTTACATAGTATTATTTAAATTATTATTTATTGTATTGAAATATTATTTAATGTTTCCAATCCAAAAATATTATTGTGATCGGTAACGCGCTTATCTTGCAACCTCAGAGGTGGTGAGGAAAAGCAATAAATATATAAAACCCATTTGTTTCGATAATATTCTTGAAAGTTTTCATTTTTATTTCCATTACGAATATATGTTCATAAACAAATTGTTAAACTACATCCTTATATTTAAAACTCTGTGTAAAAAAAAGGCATATTCAATCAGGTGATCACACATAGGAAAACAGCTGATTCTTTGGTTACTTCAAGGCTTATACAATGGTCCCGACCTAACCGGGACGAATTGTCAGCTAATAATATACCCTTATGTATGTTATATTTCATCAAGCATATGGTGTGAATGAGTAGTATTAGGGTGCGTCACTTTTGTTTCGGTTAGAGTGGTGTATATAAGTAGTGATGGCATGTACTGCGGGAGTAGGTTTAACTCATTTAGCCATCCCGGCCCCATTAGGCGAATACTTTGCTCAGTACACGCTGTAAATGTAGCGTAATTGTGTATGGGCGTCTAGCTAGTCTAGTAGCTAAGGGTGTATCATGCATGGTGATTGAGTAGAGGTATATCCATATTTACCTGTTGTGAATCAGAATATTCTGTTAACCATTTGTGATTAACGATTTGATATGCAAGTTTTTCATGTACATGTGGTGAGTTTTCTACTCAGGCCGGAACGATTTTGCAATATGTATATAGTGACTAAATATGCCTTTTCTGAAGTGTCGCCGTAGCCGTGCAGTTCGACTTCTTACTCTGGGGAATAATATATTAATCGCGGAATTTGTATTTTTAAAATATCATCGGATTGTTTGCGAAATGGGGCCACTTTTCTAAGCGAAGTTGACTCATTAGTGTAGGAGAATTAGTCTGATATCGCATTCCATTTAATTCCCAGAGTTTTTGATGGTGAATTGCAAGCTTGTGGTAGATTATGACTTTTAGACAGGATGTCGTCTCCGTACATTGCATAGGTGTTTTTCCATACTTAAAAACTCTTGCAATGCAGTCGTACGACCTACCAGCCATTATCTGATCGAGTAGTTTTGGCTTTATAGAAAACTTCGTAATACTGATCTCCTGGGGTTGTAAATGATATGGGTGAATTCTTTTAACTCACAAAATTTCCTTAAATAAATTTTAGTATTTATTTGAAATTTAGTCAACTTGAGTTGTTATGTGGAAACTGTTTCTGTAACTTGTCCACATAGTATCCAACCGAAAATTGTATTTTATGCCAAAAGCGTGCTGAAATATCCACAACACCTTCAAGTATTATTTGTGGTATGAGGTCGCTGCCTAATAGAATATTGTTTTGAGCGTTTTAGGTGGGAAACCTTTTGCCAAAGCTTGCTATTTGTGTGGTAGCTCGGAAGCATGTTTATAAGTTGTTGCAGGCTGATAGCTAGTGCCCTAATACATTCTTTCTATTTATTCTTGTAATTTAAATGAAATTATATTTCACTTTTAAAAACGTATACAAAAATGTCGGCAGGTGAGGCTGCGAAAGGGGCTGCTGAAGGGACGTGTCACGCAGGATCGTGAAAATGTTGCTGCGCAATCAAATCGAAAGTGTAT